TCAGTTCTACACTTACCCGATAGCATGGGGAGGTCCCAGAAAGTGAGTGGTCTTCTTCACTTTCTAGAGGCTCTTTATGGTTCCTGAGTTTGGGAGGAATGGTCTGCACAAACTGAGGATGTGGTGGAAGATCCTCCTCATCTTAATCAACTTCCTTGTTTGCATAGCTCATGGTATTGAAACCAGAGACCAAATGTCTGGACTAAGCGTGGATGTTGTGGAAGGCCATCCTCATTATCAGTATCAGTATCAGTATTGTCCCAGTTCAAAATCAAGGCGGCGGATGCTGTCAACAAGACGCCAAGTGATGCACACAGAATGTCTTCCAGACTGTTAGTGTTTGGCGCCATCTAGTGGTGAGTGAAAGAGGTTCCTAAAATCAGAAGTGCTGAAAGCAGTTTTGCTGTATGAATCTGGGCTGAGTGATTTACTTTCCAGCATGTTGGTTGACTCACGCAGTCTGCAGCTGGAGAGCGTCAGTTTATTCTCATTACCAGCTGCTAATGCTGAAAACAGCGTTTGAGTCAAATGTTAAAAAGGTTTCCAAAAGAGCAAACTGTTTCTGAAAATGTAAACGCCAACTTCCTAACTGAGCTTTCTCGGCAGCTTTATATGTTGGATAAATGACCAAATTTTAACAGCGATTAAAATGTGACGAATTGAAATTCTCAGGTTTATTGCTTTGCGTTCACAATTTGTTTAATTGTGATCAGAAGCAGATAACTGTACAACTGTGATCCTGTACAAAGCTGGTTGATTGAGTAAGCAGTTTTCAGTTTATATGTTGTCATGACAATCATAAAAGGGCAGTACAGCTGTGAAAGAGTTCAATATATCATCTCTATAATCACAATTTTTAACTCGGAATTGTTTCCAAAAATGTAAATGAAACAAAATGTATTTCTTCCTCTAAGGATGAGCCCCATCAGTTGATTCTCGTCGTTGTAGAGACCCCGATGTCATTTCCAATTAGAAACAAAACTTCTTGGGTAAATGCAAATAATTTTAAAATGTATGTTAAGTCAAAAAATGTGAGTAAGCATTGAATTAATACATTTTATTCCTGTACAAAGCTGGTTGATTAAAAAAAAACCATTTATTAAGACAGTCATTCAACATGAATTTTCATTGCATCAGTGAGAAATAGAGGCATACTACAATATGCAAAGGACATAAATAAATAGAACAAAATTTCTGATTATACACAGAAGACTATGCGTTGGCGAAGGAAGGCCGAAACTACACAATAAATCCATGAAGGAAATGAATGACAACGGAAAACAGTAATTATCTTGCTGACGTCAAGGTTTGTCGTCTGATTTTCAGGTTAAACTGAAAATCATTTAAAAAACATTTAACAAAATCTCTGTAACTATTCAATGTAACCAAAGCACATACATGTTACTTCGGCGGCCAGGAATACTGATTAGGTGAACAAATGCTGCGTCATATGCCGATTGTGCCGAAAGACTCCACTCCATGTGGCTTGCAGCGTTAACAGCAGAACAGACGCAGTGTTAGTATTGCTTTGGTGCACAGATGCAGCAGGCTGAGCACAAGGACGGAAGAACTGCGCATGGGGAAAGTGCATAAGCGAGGACCACGCTGGTTCCCTCGTGCTCTCACTGTTGCCTCTTGGTAAATCTTACGTCATGTTAAAGGAAGGAAAGCCTCTGCTCCACCTCCTCTGCTGTGCTGAGATCAGATATCAGAAACCAAAGGAATCATCCTTGTGTGCGCTGAAACAGTGGTGTTTCCGTCAGTGCTGCCCCACTCAGGTTCGGTGAGCCAGTCTTGGGGCATCAGCCCAATGTCCAAGACCTGGGGGTTAGTACGCGATGCTGCCAGTCTGAGTCAATGTAGGAAGAAACAAGAGAGATATGAAAATAAGTGAAAACGTCTTTAAACCTCATAAGTGTCTGAGGTTGGGCTAAAACAATACATAGAGCTACACCAGTCAATCGGCCAGATTTTAGAGTTGGACAAATGTCCGTAGATTCACTGGAGAGCATGTTAAATACACCGTGTTCCAAATGATTGTGCAAGTGATATTATTATGATGGTCAGTATAATTTTCAACTCATGAACTATTACAGTATAAATCAAGTTTTACTGAACAAACATCCCCATGAGAACAGTATTGTTTTCAAAAATAAAAAATCTCAAAATGAACTGTTCCAAATTGTTATGCACAGCAGATTTTCTACACATCTTATGGATTACAAAGAACTGCAAACTGTCATTTTTTGATTGTGCAGCATTAAGTGGTCACATGTACTAGAATCAAAAGCTATTTCAATCAAAAGCATCTTAACAGACAGAGTTACATGTTAACATAGATCCTTCTTTGGTATCACCTGCACAATTCTTGCATCCATTGAACTTGTGAGTTTGTGGAAAGTTTCAGCTTGAATTTCTTTGCAGGATGTCAGAAAACCTTCCCAGAGCTGCTGCTTTGATATGAACTGCATCCCAGACTCAGATCTTCTGCTTGAGGAAACTCCAGAGGTTCTCAATAGGGTCAGAGGTCAGAGGAGGATGGTGCCCACACCATTAGTTTCTCCCTTTTTATCCCCATAGCATCAATGACACAGTGGTATTCCTAGCAGCTTTATTGTCATGCATGAAGATGATTTTGCTACTGAAGGTGCGGCTTTTCTTTTTGAACCATGAAAGAAAGTGATCAATCAGAAAGTCCATGTACTGTGTGAGGTCATTTTCACATTTTCATTGACTCTCAAGTTAAATATCTAATGTTTTCATATCTTGTCATATCATCTGATGATTTTCATCAGCAGAGAGATTCTTTCTCTTTCCCATATTGCTTGAAACTTGTGGCCTGCTTAATAATGTGGAACATCCTTCATAAGTAGATTTCCTTTAATTGAGCTCACCAGACAAACTAATCAACCAGCTCTCTGAAATGAATTACAGTGATTCAAAGAGCCCTGACACACAATACCATCTTTAAATTAAATAGCACAACAAAACAAAAAAAGATCCTTATGACACTTTAATCCAATTTGCATAATAATTTGGAACACAGTGTATAGATAAGCGCTGGATAAGTATTTTCTGTTTTATTCAAAACTGCTATCAATATCAAAGGACATTTGACATTGTCCTTTGATAATATCAAAGGACATATTTTTCTGTTTTGTGTTTTAGTTTTGAGAACAAAAAAAATTGAAGTCAGCTGGTTCCACTGGTGCATCACTCAGACTAAAGTCTTATCACTCTGTGTCACATAAAGACAGCAGAAAAAGTGTCTTTTTGAAATATTTCATTTGGACCTAATCAAAGGCTCCAATTGTGTGTGTGTGTGTGTGCATGGTTGTTTGTCTTGTCTGTTTCTGTCTTGCCCTGTGACAGACTGGCGACCTGTCCAGGGTGACCCCGCCTCTCGCCCGGAACGTAGCTGGAGATAGGCACCAGCACCTCCCGACCCCATTAGGGATAAAGGTGAACAGAAAATGGATGGAATTATAAAGTTTTAATATACTTGACTGTTTTGTAAATTCTGATATAATTTGGCTGTATAGAGGGCAATATAAGACATATCATTGACACATGGCGGGTGTCAACAAGGCTAAAATTAGCACTTCAGCATTAGCTTCTACAAATTACTATTCTGATGTAGTGCTTTATTGTTAGCTTATGATTAGCGCTTTAGCGTCAGGACAACTAACTTAGTTATCACTGCCCACCGCAAGCAGTAATGATTGTTGTTAGTTACAGTTTGCCCTTTTCGCCACTAGGGGGCCCATGCAAACAAACATTCAGCTTATGGAAAACAACTAACAAGAAGATGCTGAGACTGTTATCTACAAGTTACATACTAACTGCACACACTCTACCACCACAAGACATACCTTATGGTGAAGATAATGTCAGAATATCTAGATTAGTTTACGAAAGACAAAACAACTTGTGAAGTCAAATTGGAAAAAAAAAAAAAAAAAAAAATGCGCTCATTGTGTTCCACACGGACTTAAATGAGGGACGGACAACGCGGAAAAGAAAGCGGAAAGCGGAAAAGAAAGCCAGACAAAGAAGTCGGGAGTTTGTGGACTCTTTCAATCAAAGATCCTGGTCGAGTTGCAGATCTGGATGAACTTGTAGACGAGCAGAGAGACAGCCGGTAAGACTCGAGCTTTATTGTTGATGAGATCGGACTGCAAAGCTACTCACGATCTCCTGTCGGACTTCCAGCTTTACCTGCTCATTAACACCATCAACTACAACACGCCTGAAGTAGTATTGATTGATTGATTTTATGAATGAACTGATTGTTGTATTTTGAATAATGAATTTAGATGTTAAGCTTAGCTATTTATTAATTTAGCATTATATTAGAAATGACATCTTAAAGTTATTTATATTCATGAACTTAATATTTATGACTAATATTGAAAAGTGATGGTTGTATATTTAAATAAATGTAAATATGTTATTGAAAAGATGAATTTGAAATGTATTTTAAAGTTAAGGAACTTAAGTTTAGTTACTTGTTCATTTAACTTTAGTTATTTTGGGGGTTTGATTCACAGTGGGTTGCTTAGTATTGTTTATATGGTTTGTTTTCTTTGTAGTTTGATTGAAATTAATTTGTGTAAATTTACAAACAATTAAGTAATTATTTATCTTTGTTTTTCTTTTGGGTTTGTCCAAAGGTTTTTACCTGCTCTGGACCAAATGTGGAATATTCTGACATGCACTAAATAAATGAAGGATAAAAATGAAGAAAACTGCTTGGTCCTTTGAGTAAAATCCTGTTTTTAAAAAGTCTGCATCCATTCATCCATCCCTTCTCAAGTGGGGAAGCTGCACAAATCAAAAAAGAACTTGACAGTAAAAACCGGCTGCAACTGCTGATGGAAAAAGAACTGTTTCAAAAGATGGCGGATTCAGCTGATGGAAAGTCTGTTGTACAGGCAAAGATGGAAAGAACGACTGCAAAAAGGTTGTTGACTCGACTGATCAACAACATAACTCGGACGCATGAGGACATGACTGAAGAGGAACTAAAGGACAGTTTCCACAAGCTCAACATAGAGGCTGGAAAAGTAATGACGGCAAATGATGATCTCGAAGCAAGTCTCATCGCAGAATTGGAATCCAACTTTGGTGAAGATGATGGAATCACACTGACTGAACAGCAGAAATCTGACCTGGAAAAGACTGCAAATGAGTGTGAAGAAAAAGTAAGAGAAGTCAAAGGCTTAATCCAGGAGACCCTGTGGAGAACCTTTGGAAAGACTGAACTGTTAGTTGCACTTCAAGTAGCGGAATTAGAATGTGAACATGCTGCCACTATCAAACCAGGAGTGGAGAAGGAAGCATATGACTTCACCCTTAACCACCTGAGGGAACTCTTAAAGGCTGCAAAAGAAGCTCATTGTCACTGGAAAAGATGGATCCCTCATGGAGCACGAGATGAAATCCAAGATCGTCTGAGAGAATTGGAACTTAGTGTCCCCAAGCTGGTTTCCAGGACAGCAGAGTTCATTCATGCAAAGCTAAAAGATGAAGAAAAGAAAGATCAAATTGTAACTTCCCAAAATTATTCTTTACCAACCATCAAGCTGAAACCAACTTCTCTCCCAAAGTTTTTTGGAAACAAACGTGACTTTTATAGATGGAGAAAAGACTGGGAAGCACTTCAAAAACAAGGAGAACCAACTGGTTCAAAAGAAGTGAAGAAAGTGCAGCTGCTGGACAGTCTGGATGAGAAAATCACGAGAGACCTTCGCTTAACCTCCTATAGCACTCCAGAAGACATTTTTCAAGTCCTTGAAAACCGCTATGGAAATCAGACCTCTATTGCAATTGAAATTGTGGAAGAGCTACAGAGAATTCCTGCAGTTAGAGGTCACCAGCCAAGAAGAATCGTGGAGTTGATCCAAGCTGTTGAAAAAGCTCTTAAGGATTTAAGTGATCTTGGAAATACTGGAGCTATTAAGAACCCTCTGGTTACAAAGTCAATTGAAACTAAGCTCCCTGAAGTTTTGAAGAAGGAATGGCTCGTTTATGCAGCTGATAAAAGGAATGCTGTGACACCAGAGAATCGATTTGATCACCTGCTTGCATTTCTGAAAGATCAAGAAAATATTTATGAGCAACTAGAGCAACTGAGAGAGGAAGAGTCAAGTAGACGAGAGACCCGAATGGAGCAAAGACATGCTAGAACCAAGTCAGTCAAAGCAGTTGATGACTTTGCAAACTGTGTTGTCTGTGGTGACGGAAAACACAGGAAAAGACTTTACTTTTGTAAACAGTTCAGAGCATTAACATTAACTGAGAAAAAAGCTGCTGTTAATAAAATTGGTGCATGTAGAAAGTGTTTGGAAATACATGATGACAAATCATACTGCAAACCTGGATTCTTGTGCAAGAATCAAAGCTGCAGGAATGGAGATGATCCACATCACTATTATCTATGCCCAAGTTTTGAAGCTAAGAAAAGCAACACAGCCCAGAGGAGGAACCGATTCGGCAGAGAAGAAGACAAAAGCAGCAGAAAGTATACAGAGGAGCAAGAAGAATTTCTTAAGAAATTGTCACCTGAGTTGGCTAAAGACTGTAGAGATGTATTTTCAAACACTGCATCTAGAACTTTCAATACAACTCAAAATCAGTTAAATCTCCTGATGGACAGTGGAGTGCAGGAACTGCCAGTGTTAATGATGCTCCTTGAAGTAACTGCAAATGCTGGTCAAAAAATTGGCACATTAATTGATCTTGCATCAGATACAAATTACATAACACACAAGGCTGCAAGCAGATTAAATCTTAAGAGTGAAGAGATCACGCTCATTGTCTATGGAGTTGGGGGGATGAAAGTTTGTGTGGAGACAAAACGTTATCTTTTGAAGATTCGTGTGAAGACCTCCAAAGGCACCCTTAAACCTTACCAGCTTGTTTGCTATGGACTTGACAGTATTGCAGACATTCATAAGCATGTTAAAGCAAAGCAGCTGCAAAGATTTTTTCCAGATGTACCACTGGATGAACTTGAAAGACCTAGAGAAATAAGCTTACTTATAAGCCATAGGGAAGGTCAGTTAACACCACAAAGGATTAGAGTTGTGGGGAACCTTGTACTGTGGGATGGTCCCTTAGGAAAAGTGGTTGGAGGAACTCATCCAGAATTGTTTGAGGAACTTGCCATGACTGCTTATTCCACCAAAACCCACTTTGCAAGGTCAATGAGGACAGCTGCTGCCAAATATGAAGAATTAATTAATGAAATCCCACAGAATTCACCATTAAATCACCAGGTCTCTATCCAGCTGAAAGCATCAAGCACTGCAACTTCAAGCCGAGATTTCCTGGAGTGGTGGAGATGGGACAGTATTGGCGCAGCTTGTGAGCCTAAGTGTGGAGGTTGTCGGTGTGGAAACTGTCAGCCGGAGGAAAGTCGATGACGCTCGCTGAAGAAAGGGAGCTAGAGGTAGTGAAGGAAGGCCTCACCTACAATGAAGGAGATAGCCACACTAACGAACCTCACTGGCATGCTAGGTACCCATGGTTGGAGGATCCAGCATCCCTTCCAAACAACAGAAACGCAGTTGAAGCTACATTTTTTAGAACAGAGAAGCAACTGGCTAAAGAACCTGACTGGAAAACTGCCTACACTGAACAAGTGCATGACATGCTTCAGCGTGAAGCTGCAATTAAGTTGTCTGAGGAAGTAATCAACAAATGGAATGGCCCAGTGTGGTATGTAAGCCACTTAATTGCTCCAAATCCACACTCGGTGACAACTCCTGTAAGACTTGTGTGGAATAGCAGTCAGAAATTTAAAGGGATAAGTATGAATGACCTGCTGAGAAAAGGCCCAGATGTCCTGAACCAGATCCGTGCTGTCCTATTAAGGTTCCGAGAGGGAGCTTATGCTGCATTAGGAGATATAAAGAAAATGTATAATTCTGTTTGGCTGGAAGAAAGAGAAGTTCACCTGCACAGGTTTATTTGGCGTGACTCTGAGGATGAAAAGGTTGGAGACTATGCAATTACAAGAGTGAACATTGGAGATAAACCTGCAGGATGCATTGCACAGTTGGCGATGCGAGAAACTGCAAGTTTACCCTCATTTATTCACCTTGTAGAGGAGCGACAAGTCCTTCAAAATAACAGCTATGTTGACGACATTCTAGTGTCCCACAATGATCCCGACAGACTAAAGCAAATCACAGAAAATGTGGAGCGCATTCTCAAAGCTGGAGGTTTCAAACTAAAACCCTGGGTGTTTTCTGGGCAAAGTGGGAGGAAAAATTGTAGCAACAAGCAGGATGAGGAGAAAGTAAAGACCATGATTTTACCAAACCAAATGCGGGATGAGGACAATAAAGCACTCGGTCTGGGGTACATTGTCGAGGAGGACAAACTCCATGTCATGGTCAGCATAAATTTTTCAAAGAGGAAAAGAAAGATGCGACTTGGACAAGACCTCCAGCAAGACCAAATCAGAAGTCAAACTCCAAACCCTCTGACAAGGCGAGAGCTCCTCAGTCAGGTGTCTGGTCTGTATGATCCAATTGGCCTGGTGACTCCTGCGAAACAAAAGGGAGCAATCCTAGTACGGAAAGCTTTCCAAGAGGCAAAGAATGTGAGTAAACAAGTAAAAGATACCTGGGATTTGGCACTCTCCAGTGATCTTAGAGAAGAAGCTATTAAGCTTTTTGAAGAGTACTCTCAGCTCAGTGAGATCCAGTTTGTCAGATCATTAACTCCTTTTCAAAACTGTAATAACTCTTTAGCTATTACATTTTCAGATGGAAGCGAATGTTCTTATGGAGCAGTGTTGTACCTGAGGTGGGGATCAACTCAAGACCCAATCATTAGGCTGGTGGAATCCAAGGCTAAGCTGACTCCATTGGAACAAAGAGGTGAGGCTGTTAAAGCAGAGATATGTGGAGCAGTGTTTGCATCACGCTTAAAGAAGTACTTTGAGATGCATTGCCAAATTAAAATTGAAAAGTGGTATCATCTCATTGATAGTCAAACAGTTCTCGGAGCAATTCAGAGAGAAAGCTATGGGTTCCAATCATTCTTTGCTAACAGGATTGGAGAGATCCAGAGCAACACAAGAATCCAAGATTGGTGGTGGATTCCTGGGGATCAAAATATTGCTGACATCATTACTCGAGGAGCCAGCCCTCAAGATCTTGATCTTAACTCTAAGTGGCAACAAGGCCCAGCATTTTTAAAATCTCCAGTTGAAATTTGGCCTATTAAATCACCTAGGCAAATTGCCATCAATGCAAAAGAAAGTATCACAAAGCTGCAAAAGAAAGCATTCATTGCTGTAACCACAAGAACCAGTGTAAAGGAATCAGGGTTCAAACAAGAATCACTTGAAAATCGAACAGAGGTCTTGGCAAAGAAGCAGCGGCCATCGATATCCATACAGAACCTGGTAGATGTTAGCCGCTTTAGCAGTTTAACACTATTGGTCAAGACAATTGTTTGGGTTTGGAGAGCAGCAAAGAGATTTATAGGGAAAAATCAAGCTGTGAATAAACCAAAGTGGGAGGCAGTCTGCTCTGCAGGGGTAGTCTCTGTGAGAGAAAGAGAAGATGCTCTCAGGGATATTTTCCTTACTGCTCAGATGGGTGCCAACTTTCCTAACACAACCATGGATAGGTTGGTGATTTATCAAGACAAAGAATCTGGGTTATTAGTATGTGGTGGCAGAATACAGATCTTTAGAGAAGATAGAGTTGCAGTTCCCATCATACCCCATGATGCTTGGGTGTCAACACTGTTGGGCAGAGAAGCTCACAATGCTGCACATGATGGAATTGCTGGAACCCTATTGAGGATGAGGAAAAAAGCCTGGGTTGTAAAAGGACGAAGGATAGCCCAAAAGATTGTTGATAGCTGTATGGTCTGTAGGAAAGCTCGAGCTTTGAAGTGCCAGCAGTTGATGGGTGATTTGCCACCTGAGAGAACTGAGCCTGCTCCTCCTTTCAAGTTCACTTCAGTTGATCTCTTCGGACCTTATCATGTCAGAGATGACGTCAAAAAAAGGGTGACAATTAAGGTCTGGGGTGTTGTCTTTTGCTGTATGGCCAGTAGAGCTATTCACACCGAATTGGCAAGCTCTCTTTCCACTGAAAGTTTCTTGATGGCTTATCAGAGATTTACTGCAATCCGAGGTCACCCACAAAAGATCTGGTCTGATGCAGGCACCAATTTTGTTGGAGCAAAACCAGTTTTAGAGGAGCTCTATAGATACCTGGGCACCCAAAATATATCAGGTTTGGAAGAAACTGCAGCAAAGAATGGGACTGAGTGGGTGTGGAAAATCCTTCCTGCAGACTCACCTCACAGAAACGGAGCTGCTGAAGCTGCTGTTGGCATTGTGAAAAGAACTTTCCAGAGTCTTGGTCAAGAATTCTCACTAACTTTTAGTGAGTTTCACACAGCTCTTTATAATGCTGCCAATCTAGCAAATGAGCGCCCCATTGATGCCAGACTACAGAGTCGAGAGGGTTGTATTCAGTATGTCACACCTAACAGCCTTTTGCTCGGCCGAGCATCCCAGACAGGTGATGTAAAAATGTTTGACTTTTCCAGCTATTCATTCAAACGACTTGGCGCTATGCAAAATGAGGTTACTAAATTCTGGAAAAGTTGGAGGCAGCTGGCTGGTCCTAATCTTTTTGTGAGGAGCAAATGGCACACTTCCCAAAGAAATGTTGCTGTTGGCGACATTGTCTGGTTGTGTGACCAAAATGCACTTAGAGGACAGTTTATACTGGGCAAAGTTGTAAGTGCTAATCCCGACAACAAGGGTGTTGTGAGGGACGTAAATGTCCAGGTTGTCCCAAGTTATTGCACTCCTATAACAAAACATGTCAAGCAAAGATCAGCTCATCCACCAAAGAAAGATAAAATGAAAACCACCATTCTTCACAGGGATGTTAGGAGGCTCATCGTCTTAATACCTGTAGAAGAACAAACACAAAGTCAAGCCAAAGAGGATTAAAAAACCCAGAAAGTGACAGTGGATCTGCGATCTTCCCAGTGATTCCTGGAAAGATCGAGTGGGAGGTGTGAAGTCAAATTGGAAAAAAAAAAAAAAAAAAAATGCGCTCATTGTGTTCCACACGGACTTAAATGAGGGACGGACAACGCGGAAAAGAAAGCGGAAAGCGGAAAAGAAAGCCAGACAAAGAAGTCGGGAGTTTGTGGACTCTTTCAATCAAAGATCCTGGTCGAGTTGCAGATCTGGATGAACTTGTAGACGAGCAGAGAGACAGCCGGTAAGACTCGAGCTTTATTGTTGATGAGATCGGACTGCAAAGCTACTCACGATCTCCTGTCGGACTTCCAGCTTTACCTGCTCATTAACACCATCAACTACAACACGCCTGAAGTAGTATTGATTGATTGATTTTATGAATGAACTGATTGTTGTATTTTGAATAATGAATTTAGATGTTAAGCTTAGCTATTTATTAATTTAGCATTATATTAGAAATGACATCTTAAAGGTATTTATATTCATGAACTTAATATTTATGACTAATATTGAAAAGTGATGGTTGTATATTTAAATAAATGTAAATATGTTTGAAAAGATGAATTTGAAATGTATTTTAAAGTTAAGGAACTTAAGTTTAGTTACTTGTTCATTTAACTTTAGTTATTTTGGGGGTTTGATTCACAGTGGGTTGCTTAGTATTGTTTATATGGTTTGTTTTCTTTGTAGTTTGATTGAAATTAATTTGTGTAAATTTACAAACAATTAAGTAATTATTTATCTTTGTTTTTCTTTTGGGTTTGTCCAAAGGTTTTTACCTGCTCTGGACCAAATGTGGAATATTCTGACATGCACTAAATAAATGAAGGATAAAAATGAAGAAAACTGCTTGGTCCTTTGAGTAAAATCCTGTTTTTAAAAAGTCTGCATCCATTCATCCATCCCTTCTCAAGTGGGGAAGCTGCACAAATCAAAAAAGAACTTGACAGTAAAAACCGGCTGCAACTGCTGATGGAAAAAGAACTGTTTCAAAAGATGGCGGATTCAGCTGATGGAAAGTCTGTTGTACAGGCAAAGATGGAAAGAACGACTGCAAAAAGGTTGTTGACTCGACTGATCAACAACATAACTCGGACGCATGAGGACATGACTGAAGAGGAACTAAAGGACAGTTTCCACAAGCTCAACATAGAGGCTGGAAAAGTAATGACGGCAAATGATGATCTCGAAGCAAGTCTCATCGCAGAATTGGAATCCAACTTTGGTGAAGATGATGAATCACACTGACTGAACAGCAGAAATTTGACCTGGAAAAGACTGCAAATGAGTGTGAAGAAAAAGTAAGAGAAGTCAAAGGCTTAATCCAGGAGACCCTGTGGAGAACCTTTGGAAAGACTGAACTGTTAGTTGCACTTCAAGTAGCGGAATTAGAATGTGAACATGCTGCCACTATCAAACCAGGAGTGGAGAAGGAAGCATATGACTTCACCCTTAACCACCTGAGGGAACTCTTAAAGGCTGCAAAAGAAGCTCATTGTCACTGGAAAAGATGGATCCCTCATGGAGCACGAGATGAAATCCAAGATCGTCTGAGAGAATTGGAACTTAGTGTCCCCAAGCTGGTTTCCAGGACAGCAGAGTTCATTCATGCAAAGCTAAAAGATGAAGAAAAGAAAGATCAAATTGTAACTTCCCAAAATTATTCTTTACCAACCATCAAGCTGAAACCAACTTCTCTCCCAAAGTTTTTTGGAAACAAACGTGACTTTTATAGATGGAGAAAAGACTGGGAAGCACTTCAAAAACAAGGAGAACCAACTGGTTCAAAAGAAGTGAAGAAAGTGCAGCTGCTGGACAGTCTGGATGAGAAAATCACGAGAGACCTTCGCTTAACCTCCTATAGCACTCCAGAAGACATTTTTCAAGTCCTTGAAAACCGCTATGGAAATCAGACCTCTATTGCAATTGAAATTGTGGAAGAGCTACAGAGAATTCCTGCAGTTAGAGGTCACCAGCCAAGAAGAATCGTGGAGTTGATCCAAGCTGTTGAAAAAGCTCTTAAGGATTTAAGTGATCTTGGAAATACTGGAGCTATTAAGAACCCTCTGGTTACAAAGTCAATTGAAACTAAGCTCCCTGAAGTTTTGAAGAAGGAATGGCTCGTTTATGCAGCTGATAAAAGGAATGCTGTGACACCAGAGAATCGATTTGATCACCTGCTTGCATTTCTGAAAGATCAAGAAAATATTTATGAGCAACTAGAGCAACTGAGAGAGGAAGAGTCAAGTAGACGAGAGACCCGAATGGAGCAAAGACATGCTAGAACCAAGTCAGTCAAAGCAGTTGATGACTTTGCAAACTGTGTTGTCTGTGGTGACGGAAAACACAGGAAAAGACTTTACTTTTGTAAACAGTTCAGAGCATTAACATTAACTGAGAAAAAAGCTGCTGTTAATAAAATTGGTGCATGTAGAAAGTGTTTGGAAATACATGATGACAAATCATACTGCAAACCTGGATTCTTGTGCAAGAATCAAAGCTGCAGGAATGGAGATGATCCACATCACTATTATCTATGCCCAAGTTTTGAAGCTAAGAAAAGCAACACAGCCCAGAGGAGGAACCGATTCGGCAGAGAAGAAGACAAAAGCAGCAGAAAGTATACAGAGGAGCAAGAAGAATTTCTTAAGAAATTGTCACCTGAGTTGGCTAAAGACTGTAGAGATGTATTTTCAAACACTGCATCTAGAACTTTCAATACAACTCAAAATCAGTTAAATCTCCTGATGGACAGTGGAGTGCAGGAACTGCCAGTGTTAATGATGCTCCTTGAAGTAACTGCAAATGCTGGTCAAAAAATTGGCACATTAATTGATCTTGCATCAGATACAAATTACATAACACACAAGGCTGCAAGCAGATTAAATCTTAAGAGTGAAGAGATCACGCTCATTGTCTATGGAGTTGGGGGGATGAAAGTTTGTGTGGAGACAAAACGTTATCTTTTGAAGATTCGTGTGAAGACCTCCAAAGGCACCCTTAAACCTTACCAGCTTGTTTGCTATGGACTTGACAGTATTGCAGACATTCATAAGCATGTTAAAGCAAAGCAGCTGCAAAGATTTTTTCCAGATGTACCACTGGATGAACTTGAAAGACCTAGAGAAATAAGCTTACTTATAAGCCATAGGGAAGGTCAGTTAACACCACAAAGGATTAGAGTTGTGGGGAACCTTGTACTGTGGGATGGTCCCTTAGGAAAAGTGGTTGGAGGAACTCATCCAGAATTGTTTGAGGAACTTGCCATGACTGCTTATTCCACCAAAACCCACTTTGCAAGGTCAATGAGGACAGCTGCTGCCAAATATGAAGAATTAATTAATGAAATCCCACAGAATTCACCATTAAATCACCAGGTCTCTAACCAGCTAAAAGCATCAAGCACTGCAACTTCAAGCCGAGATTTCCTGGAGTGGTGGAGATGGGACAGTATTGGCGCAGCTTGTGAGCCTAAGTGTGGAGGTTGTCGGTGTGGAAACTGTCAGCCGGGAGGAAAGTCGATGACGCTCGCTGAAGAAAGGGAGCTAGAGGTAGTGAAGGAAGGCCTCACCTACAATGAAGGAGATAGCCACACTAACGAACCTCACTGGCATGCTAGGTACCCATGGTTGGAGGATCCAGCATCCCTTCCAAACAACAGAAACGCAGTTGAAGCTACATTTTTTAGAACAGAGAAGCAACTGGCTAAAGAACCTGACTGGAAAACTGCCTACACTGAACAAGTGCATGACATGCTTCAGCGTGAAGCTGCAATTAAGTTGTCTGAGGAAGTAATCAACAAATGGAATGGCCCAGTGTGGTATGTAAGCCACTTAATTGCTCCAAATCCACACTCGGTGACAACTCCTGTAAGACTTGTGTGGAATAGCAGTCAGAAATTTAAAGGGATAAGTATGAATGACCTGCTGAGAAAAGGCCCAGATGTCCTGAACCAGATCCGTGCTGTCCTATTAAGGTTCCGAGAGGGAGCTTATGCTGCATTAGGAGATATAAAGAAAATGTATAATTCTGTTTGGCTGGAAGAAAGAGAAGTTCACCTGCACAGGTTTATTTGGCGTGACTCTGAGGATGAAAAGGTTGGAGACTATGCAATTACAAGAGTGAACATTGGAGATAAACCTGCAGGATGCATTGCACAGTTGGCGATGCGAGAAACTGCAAGTTTACCCTCATTTATTCACCTTGTAGAGGAGCGACAAGTCCTTCAAAATAACAGCTATGTTGACGACATTCTAGTGTCCCACAATGATCCCGACAGACTAAAGCAAATCACAGAAAATGTGGAGCGCATTCTCAAAGCTGGAGGTTTCAAACTAAAACCCTGGGTGTTTTCTGGGCAAAGTGGGAGGAAAAATTGTAGCAACAAGCAGGATGAGGAGAAAGTAAAGACCATGATTTTACCAAACCAAATGCGGGATGAGGACAATAAAGCACTCGGTCTGGGGTACATTGTCGAGGAGGACAAACTCCATGTCATGGTCAGCATAAATTTTTCAAAGAGGAAAAGAAAGATGCGACTTGGACAAGACCTCCAGCAAGACCAAATCAGAAGTCAAACTCCAAACCCTCTGACAAGGCGAGAGCTCCTCAGTCAGGTGTCTGGTCTGTATGATCCAATTGGCCTGGTGACTCCTGCGAAACAAAAGGGAGCAATCCTAGTACGGAAAGCTTTCCAAGAGGCAAAGAATGTGAGTAAACAAGTAAAAGATACCTGGGATTTGGCACTCTCCAGTGATCTTAGAGAAGAAGCTATTAAGCTTTTTGAAGAGTACTCTCAGCTCAGTGAGATCCAGTTTGTCAGATCATTAACTCCTTTTCAAAACTGTAATAACTCTTTAGCTATTACATTTTCAGATGGAAGCGAATGTTCTTATGGAGCAGTGTTGTACCTGAGGTGGGGATCAACTCAAGACCCAATCATTAGGCTGGTGGAATCCAAGGCTAAGCTGACTCCATTGGAACAAAGAGGTGAGGCTGTTAAAGCAGAGATATGTGGAGCAGTGTTTGCATCACGCTTAAAGAAGTACTTTGAGATGCATTGCCAAATTAAAATTGAAAAGTGGTATCATCTCATTGATAGTCAAAGTTCTCGGAGCAATTCAGAGAGAAAGCTATGGGTTCCAATCATTCTTTGCTAACAGGATTGGAGAGATCCAGAGCAACACAAGAATCCAAGATTGGTGGTGGATTCCTGGGGATCAAAATATTGCTGACATCATTACTCGAGGAGCCAGCCCTCAAGATCTTGATCTTAACTCTAAGTGGCAACAAGGCCCAGCATTTTTAAAATCTCCAGTTGAAATTTGGCCTATTAAATCACCTAGGCAAATTGCCATCAATGCAAAAGAAAGTATCACAAAGCTGCAAAAGAAGCATTCATTGCTGTAACCAACAAGAACCAGTGTAAAGGAATCAGGGTTCAAACAAGAATCACTTGAAAATCGAACAGAGGTCTTGGCAAAGAAGCAGCGGCCATCGATATCCATACAGAACCTGGTAGATGTTAGCCGCTTTAGCAGTTTAACACTATTGGTCAAGACAATTGTTTGGGTTTGGAGAGCAGCAAAGAGATTTATAGGGAAAAATCAAGCTGTGAATAAACCAAAGTGGGAGGCAGTCTGCTCTGCAGGGGTAGTCTCTGTGAGAGAAAGAGAAGATGCTCTCAGGGATATTTTCCTTACTGCTCAGATGGGTGCCAACTTTCCTAACACAACCATGGATAGGTTGGTGATTTATCAAGACAAAGAATCTGGGTTATTAGTATGTGGTGGCAGAATACAGATCTTTAGAGAAGATAGAGTTGCAGTTCCCATCATACCCCATGATGCTTGGGTGTCAACACTGTTGGGCAGAGAAGCTCACAATGCTGCACATGATGGAATTGCTGGAACCCTATTGAGGATGAGGAAAAAAGCCTGGGTTGTAAAAGGACGAAGGATAGCCCAAAAGATTGTTGATAGCTGTATGGTCTGTAGGAAAGCTCGAGCTTTGAAGTGCCAGCAGTTGATGGGTGATTTGCCACCTGAGAGAACTGAGCCTGCTCCTCCTTTCAAGTTCACTTCAGTTGATCTCTTCGGACCTTATCATGTCAGAGATGACGTCAAAAAAAGGGTGACAATTAAGGTCTGGGGTGTTGTCTTTTGCTGTATGGCCAGTAGAGCTATTCACACCGAATTGGCAAGCTCTCTTTCCACTGAAAGTTTCTTGATGGCTTATCAGAGATTTACTGCAATCCGAGGTCACCCACAAAAGATCTGGTCTGATGCAGGCACCAATTTTGTTGGAGCAAAACCAGTTTTAGAGGAGCTCTATAGATACCTGGGCACCCAAAATATATCAGGTTTGGAAGAAACTGCAGCAAAGAATGGGACTGAGTGGGTGTGGAAAATCCTTCCTGCAGACTCACCTCACAGAAACGGAGCTGCTGAAGCTGCTGTTGGCATTGTGAAAAGAACTTTCCAGAGTCTTGGTCAAGAATTCTCACTAACTTTTAGTGAGTTTCACACAGCTCTTTATAATGCTGCCAATCTAGCAAATGAGCGCCCCATTGATGCCAGACTACAGAGTCGAGAGGGTTGTATTCAGTATGTCACACCTAACAGCCTTTTGCTCGGCCGAGCATCCCAGACAGGTGATGTAAAAATGTTTGACTTTTCCAGCTATTCATTCAAACGACTTGGCGCTATGCAAAATGAGGTTACTAAATTCTGAAAAGTTGGAGGCAGCTGGCTGGTCCTAATCTTTTTGTGAGGAGCAAATGGCACACTTCCCAAAGAAATGTTGCTGTTGGCGACATTGTCTGGTTGTGTGACCAAAATGCACTTAGAGGACAGTTTATACTGGGCAAAGTTGTAAGTGCTAATCCCGACAACAAGGGTGTTGTGAGGGACGTAAATGTCCAGGTTGTCCCAAGTTATTGCACTCCTATAACAAAACATGTCAAGCAAAGATCAGCTCATCCACCAAAGAAAGATAAAATGAAAACCACCATTCTTCACAGGGATGTTAGGAGGCTCATCGTCTTAATACCTGTAGAAGAACAAACACAAAGTCAAGCCAAAGAGGATTAAAAAACCCAGAAAGTGACAGTGGATCTGCGATCTTCCCAGTGATTCCTGGAAAGATCGAGTGGGAGGTGTGAAGTCAAATTGGAAAAAAAAAAAAAAAAAAAAATGCGCTCATTGTGTTCCACACGGACTTAAATGAGGGACGGACAACGCGGAAAAGAAAGCGGAAAGCGGAAAAGAAAGCCAGACAAAGAAATCGGGAGTTTGTGGACCCTTTCAATCAAAGATCCTGGTCGAGTTGCAGATCTGGATGAACTTGTAGACGAGCAGAGAGACAGCCGGTAAGACTCGAGCTTTATTGTTGATGAGATCGGACTGCAAAGCTACTCACGATCTCCTGTCGGACTTCCAGCTTTACCTGCTCATTAACACCATCAACTACAACACGCCTGAAGTAGTATTGATTGATTGATTTTATGAATGAACTGATTGTTGTATTTTGAATAATGAATTTAGATGTTAAGCTTAGCTATTTATTAATTTAGCATTATATTAGAAATGACATCTTAAAGTTATTTATATTCATGAACTTAATATTTATGACTAATATTGAAAAGTGATGGTTGTATATTTAAATAAATGTAAATATGTTATTGAAAAGATGAATTTGAAATGTATTTTAAAGTTAAGGAACTTAAGTTTAGTTACTTGTTCATTTAACTTTAGTTATTTTGGGGGTTTGATTCACAGTGGGTTGCTTAGTATTGTTTATATGGTTTTTTCTTTGTAGTTTGATTGAAATTAATTTGTGTAAATTTACAAACAATTAAGTAATTATTTATCTTTGTTTTTCTTTTGGTTTGTCCAAAGGTTTTTACCTGCTCTGGACCAAATGTGGAATATTCTGACATGCACTAAATAAATGAAGGATAAAAATGAAGAAAACTGCTTGGTCCTTTGAGTAAAATCCTGTTTTTAAAAAGTCTGCATCCATTCATCCATCCCTTCTCAAGTGGGGAAGCTGCACAAATCAAAAAGAACTTGACACAACTTCTATTTAAAAATTAACACGTTTTATATTTTGGAACAAATGACCTCTAGAAATCCAACTTGTTTTCTACATCCTTTTTTTTTTCAAGATGAATACAGTCCTGAAGAATTCTAAGATCCAGAGTTCCAGAGTCCCAGAAATTATTGGAACTCTGGCTGACCATGTGACCAGTGTAAGTACCTATAGCAGCTGAGAAGTAGCTGCTGGATGCAAGAGAAACGGCTTGTTGCCAAAGAATGTGGAAGGTTTACTTGTATGACTTTGATGCTTGTTAGACATTCACTAATTGGACTCGAAATAAATCAGGTTGAGATAACCTGATTTACCTTAACCTGGATTTATTCCTGGTTTAATTTGGTTCTCCATGAAGTTCTCTCAAATGATAGCAGCTATTTCCAAGACAAAGTCTAAAGCTTTCAAAGACAAAATTGGTTAGAATGATGTCAATTGGTTATTTTTGGTGCACAAGGCCATTTGATGAATAGGCCGGGGAGGTGAGTCATATTTTTTCCAGGAACATTTTGTGATTTGCCATGAATGGGAGGATAGAGACGCTCAAATTGATGAGAAAATTAGGTCTCCTTTGTGTTTCCACATTATTTGTTCTGATTTGGGAGACCTGGATTGGCTGCAGACATCCATTTACTGTGCAGAATAATAAAGTTACAAATCATGGGAGACATTCAGGTCGCCTGAACCCTGGTGTAAAATTATTTCTCACTACTCCACTTCTGGAACAGGCACTCAAAACACAGGAGGTGTTGAACAATAAAGTTCCTGCTTCTTGAGTCGATTCACACAGTGACCGTGCGATATGCAGTTAGTGTTAAAACCACAAACTGCAGCAGGATTTTGTGTGGTATTACTAGGTGAGTTCTGATGGCAGAACTGTATGTTATTTAGGCGTATCATAGTGAAAGCACACCACACTTGTAAGATTTTTTATTTGAAAAGTTAATACTTTTTTTCATTCCACATTTATGAGATAATTTGTGTTGATATATCAAACAAAAGCCTCAATTTATGTCAAATATTTTGGTCCTAATGTGACACAATGTGATAAAGACTTAAAAGGGTCCGTCTTGTTTGAAGTATGTGGACAATTTACCCAGAGATGCAATAAAAAATTACAGATGCTACTGACACACATTACTGACCTATAAACAGTTTTATTGGCTTTGGTAGTGATTAAATGAAACAGAATCCGGTTAGGTTAGTGATTAAAACTACTCATGGTTGACTGTGACGCTTAACTTTACCTGGAAATGAACCATAGCTATCCAGAGCACAGCTGGAGACACAAACACACAGCAGATTGAGCAAAATAACCAGTTTTGTTCCCAATTTGTAGGGAAATCACAGATTTGGAGGCTGCAGTGCATAGAAATCACCAGTGGGTGGCACCGTAATGCCAAGCAAGATGAACAGAAACCCTGATTTGACAGGCTGAATTTGCAACAGGAATCAACACGGTTTAAATATGGATGAATAAAAATGCTCAAAGCTTATATCCCACCTGGAAAAGGCTTCATCCAAACTGTCTTCCATTTCCTGGAAGAAATTTAAAAAAGGATATTAACAATGAGCCACGAAAGATTATGCCCAGTTTGTTGTTTTTTACAGTTTCTATTGCAGGAATATAAGCAGAAACCTCACATTTTCTCAAGCTTAAAAACAGAAAATATTTGATAACTGTCTGTGAAACAGAAACAAGTCAGAGAATATCGTACCGAGGCAGGACTGTTGTTGGTCTCCGAGGGCCTGTGGTTATCCAGCTGATCGCCGCCTGTATTCCCACTACTCTCCACCAAAACCTTCACACCACCCTCCAAGTCCAAAAGGATTTCTGTGGCTGCATCTGAACGAAGGAAAAATAAGAGACTGTTTTCATGTATTCAAATGTTTTAACATCTGTTGTTTAAAATGCCTCATGACTGTTTTGTGTTTTGTCTGTTTGGTGTAAAATTTAAGGCAAATCTATCAGGACAGAGTAGGATATGTTTTTAATACCCAATGACTGGACTAGCTGTTCTGTCTGTGCAGCCTTATACCATGCTAACTCAGCAGGTGTTGATGCTCAATTTGACATGTCTGTTCAGACTGTAAATAATTTAAAATCACGTAATTTTGTAGTAACTGATTGAATAGGGCTGTTTAGACTGCTGTGAAAAATCACATTTGGCTGTTGGGTGACTGTGCCCCTAAGAGTGCCCCTGCATGGTCAAATAATTTTTAACTGAATTATTTAGAAAATAAATCCACTTCATACAAAGAATCTTCATCACTGCAGACAGAGCTAATGCATAGCGTAGCACTTGATTAAGAAATGCTATTATTAGAACTAAAATATTTGTTTGCATGAAAACCGAAACATTGGCATCAATGGATTCTTCTAAGTCACCAGGCAGAAAACTAAAGCTACTTGGTTTTATACCTTAATCAATGTGCAACACTGTTCCTATACTGTGTATAGTGTACAATTTATTTCCGGATGCTCTAACATTTAAAATAAGAGTGACAGAAGATTTGACTTCATTGAGAATATGTCCCAGTACTCTTTCTCACCTGTTCCTTTCAGACTCCCCAGACTGTTGGACCTTTCTGAGTGGGAACTGCTGCTGCCCTCTCCCGCAGAACCAGACTTAACTCTCACACCTTTCTCTGCAACAAACAAAACACCTCCCATAAAAACCATCCAGACCAACAGCCGCCAACAGCCTCAAGGTGCATTTAGGGGAAAAGACAGAAGAAAGTTGGCCCCACCTTCCTTTGCCACCTGCCAGAGCTCAAAGGCTACTGTGAAGGCCTGGGCGACGGTCAGGGCTACGGCCTGCGCCTGAAATAAACACAAGAGAAGAGCAGAGCTAATGACGCCCTGTGACAGGAAATACTAACAGAATATGACAGCTCATATTTTATTCAGTGAAATCAACAGATTGGAGAACCTTGATTTACTTAACTGAAGAGGGGAAAAGAACCAGAAGTACACACTGAACCAAATATAAGGGATGGGAGAGGTGTTAGCTTGAATTCATGCTGAAGTTTATCAACATAAAGTTCATCAATATAAATATGACTTCTTAGTTTTGTATTTTCAATAAAAAAAAAAATCTATGCAATTTGGAATGAGGCTATGACACAACAAAATGGGAAAAAAGTGAAGTGGTGTTAATGCTTTCCAAACACACTGCATCTGATACATAGTCAGCTTTCCTTTCATACAAGAAGTCAAAGGAAAAGTTTAATCTGAGAACAGTGTCCGTATATTTGGTACCCTTTTCTCTTTTTATGCACTTTTTTTTATGTTGCAAAATTCACTTTAGAATTTATTACAGGAGCCGTAAAAGAGTGAAATGAAAACAGAAACACAGAACCTACCACTTTCCTCTTGGAGCAGAGGTAAGCGTGACACTCCAGGGTCCCATTGAGGGTGTTCTGAGCGATGTAAGCAAACACTTTGTCATGCTGCTTGTCCACCGTACAGTAGGATATCCTGCAGGCCAAGAGGAATGGATGGTTTAGGTCTAATAGACTTTCTGAACCTGCCCTCCATCGCTGCTTCGTTTGTCACACCTGTAAATAGAGACGCTTTCCAAGAGTTTATTGGTAGACCTGTCCAGCACCGCGATCCCTTGAGGGGAAACCTTCAGGCTAACCTTCTGGGGCTTCTTCCCACTGGCTTTAGTCTGTGCAGCACAAACATAAATTTTTGATTTTAATGGCATTGAGAATTTTATGTACAGTAGTGGGATCCAATCTTCACTGGGTAAACTGGGTTTTATTTCGGGATTTATTCACTTTATCACACTGCAACCACTTCAATTAACTTTATTGGGACTCTCATTTCCTCTGTCACATAAAGTATCAATAAAGGGGTTATTATTAGTACTGAAAATGCAATTACTTGCACTAATAGCACAACTGTAGGACCGTTGACACACTGAAATCACCCATCTTATTTCTGCTGCAAATCAGCAAGCAAATGGTGTTTCTACAACCTCGCATGACCATCTTGCATCTATTTGTTGTCAACTTTGATTGTCCAGAGGAAAATGAAGATAAGAAAAGCTTTGGTATTTTGGAAACTTCAGTATTTTGGAAACAAACATTAAGCATCTATCCAGCTGAGGCCAACCGATTCACTGATACATCACTGAGCTAGTCTGAACTAAGTCCGCAATGATTTTAATGCATTTTATTGTTCCAAATTGTTGTTGTTTTTTTTTTTAAGAAAATACATATTTCAATGGGGCACACAGTGGCGCAGTTGGTAGCACTGTTGCCTTGCAGCAAAAACGTCCTGGGTTCGATTTCTAGCCCGGGGTCTTTCTGCATGGAGTTTGGGGTTTTAGAAAATGGATGGATATTTTAATCTAAAAACTGGACTCACTAAACTGCCCTTAGGTCTGACTGTGTGTTTGCATTGTGTTTTATGTGACAGGGCCAGAAACCTGTTGATTGGATAAGAAAATTGTAATCTATTTTTCTTTGAACTTCTAACATAACCGTTCAATAAAGTACATTATCATTCATAGATATCCTGTTGCACGGTGTGAATATTATAACACCAACAATTTCTATCAAACAAACGCCTACGCAATGATGAGCAAGAAGAGATTTTAAATCCCCTAAAAAGAAAAGCTCTTTTACACCGACCGTAGCAATGATCCTCTTCACAGCAGCTGCCGACAGTTCCTCTCCCTTGGGTTGATCCACAAGTGTCATGCCTAGGTGCCGGAGGTTAAAGGTCATCCCCTCTAAAATGGTCTCCCGTGTATCTGTCCAGTTTTCTGGAAGCTCTACAACAAAATGTTTTTATTTTTATTATCTTGAATTGTCGAACCAAAGTACAGTTTTTAGAATAATCTCACTTTATGTTACTGTATAAAAATACTGTTTTTCTATAAGGAGCTTCATGTCGGAGGAAATGTAAACATCAAGTCGAAAACAGTATCTGTGCCAAAGGTCGATGCAAAGTAAATACTTCATCTACAGAAAAAACAAAAAAACAACTGACAACTTGCATTGGTAACCTGGACTTTGACATGCTGTGATACAAGGAAATTGTCTTTTTTCCCTGAGAGCATGACATTTTTTATTTCTTTTTTTTTTTGGCACCATTGGCTTTTATTTGACAGCAATATGACACAAATGGGGCAAAGTAACTGAGGACAGGAGTTGAACTCAGTACATCTGCTCTAACCACTGCGGCACATGATGCCCTGACATGACCGGTAAAAAAAAAAAAGGGGTGTTTGGTAGTTATGAAATTAAAATCGGATAGGCTAAAAGGACAGTATGTGCCTTCATGTGGTTTCTTATCAGGTTGTGCGTGGTGCCTGGCGGCCCTGACCCCGTGTGTCTGTTTACAGAGACTTTCTCGCAGTCGGCGAAGTGGGGGAAAGGGTGCGCGGTGTTAGTGAAGATGAGATCCTTACCTGAAAATTCATCCTCCCAAAGATTTTTTTTATCTCCTGCGAGATTCAGGGAATACCACACATTTGTGCAGTCATGTTTTAACTCAAGATTTGTAGCAAGAGTCCATAACCAGATATGTTCCACTAAACCCCGGCTTAAAGTGACAAGCCGACTGATCAATGCCCCGAGTCACAGAGTCAACATGCTTTCAAACGGAGCTTAACACCGTTTTTTTAACCTTATCTCTCATTTTTCTGTCTCCAAGGGGGAATACCTTGCAAGTAATTACAGATGTTATTTTTCCTCCCTCACAGGAGCCACTGTTTGATTTCCAAGAACCAGCTTTTACAGTTTTTCGGGAGACCTCTACAGCACACCAACAGAGCAGGTACCAGGCACCGCTCAGCCTGAGAATGTGGAAGACTCTGGGTTCAGCTGCGAGAACTACGTGTGAGGAGAGGAAAGACAGCTGTGTTCACATGGTGAACCCTTACCGTTAATAAAAGTAATCCCCACTATAACTTCAAGACCGCCTCATCTACTGTGTTTAAATAGTAATGTTTATTCTTTTGAAATATGTTGTTCAAGCCAAATCCATGATGATAACTCCATTAGATTTACCAGCTTTTCTGATCTCAAATTTAGTCTTTCTTAGTGTTGCACCTTCCAGTATGTCTTGTAACATTTCATTGAATCGGTTAGATCAAGTTTCCACAAACTGAACTCTTTTTTTTTTAATTATTTTTATTTAATATGAGAACCAAAGAGAACTTTCTGTTTAGCTCTGCTACCTTATGAAAGAAGATAGTGTGTTAAATTTTAATTGTTAAATTTTTTAAAGGAAGGAACCCAAAGATTTGATACTAGAACCTTAAACATGTATAAACAATTGTAAATAGACTAGTTTAAAGACAAACTTCTTCAGTTTGATGGTCGAAGAGCGACAGATTACTTTTTTGGGGTACTAGATAAACGATCAACTCTCTTAAAACATCTTACTTTAACCTTTCAAACTGCTCTTGATCAGGTTTCTCAGTATCTCGTAAGTCTTTCAAACTTTCTTTAAGTCTACATACTTTGCTATTTACGTTCTGTTTGGTGATTCGCCAATTTTGGAAGAATGTTTTTTTTGTTATTTGCCTCTTTACCCTGTCGTTTGAATCATACAGGCATAAAGAGACTCCGAAACTCAAGGGACAAACCAGTATTGTGTCTTCATACAGCCACGTAACCAAGTTTGACCAATGAAAAAATATATTGAACACCAACAAGCTGTTAAATCAGTTAATGGATGAGTAATTTTTCGGGTTTCGTGTTAGGTTTTTGCTGATCTTGTCTGTTCCTTTGAGACATGAATGCCATAAATGGTTCACTCATCTGTTCAGACCAAACACCAATTTTTTTTTTTTTTTTTTAGTTCTCCACCTTCTTTAGCATAACAAATGCGGCCATGATTGGGTACAGAATGTTAGAAAAGCAGGCAAAGGTCCACAGAATAACACAAAAAGACCTCCAGAGAGAGAAGAGGAGAGATGAAGAATACCTGGAGTACACTATACTCATTCAGGTGAAAAAAAATTTACTTAGCAGTGGTTTAAAACTTTTCCATGGTATGTATTGTTAATAAAAGGTGAACGTCTGAAACAAGAAGAGTTGATAATATTTTCCCCCAAGAAGAAAAACTCCAATGTTAAGTCATCAACACCAACCTTTCTGCCTCCAACATTAGAATCCTGACTTGTTGCTGAGACAAAAGTCTCTTTTTTAATTTTCTCACAAAGTTATCACTTTACATCAAAACATAAGAGGAATTCAATCCAAGTTGTTCGTGGCCAACGATTTGATCAGATGTTAAGTGGAATCTGGAGTGAACAGAAAGGTATTCTGAACAACATCCAGTGTTCAGCTGGATGGAGGGTCTCTGTTCAACACTATGACAACAATGTTGCTGATCCAATAAGTTCCGATCGACGGGGCACACACTTTCCGGCTCCTGTGTGTGTCTACGCTCAACACTGCATCACCAAGGAGACCACCAATGGGGGTTCTACAACTTCGGACCTCTCCTGGTCTTTGTTTTTGGGAAGGCATTGAAGGGGCTTGGTGGAAAGCCAGTCGCCTGCTGCCATCTCACTTCTTTCTTAACTGTAGCCACTTTCACAAAACACTTTAAATCTAATATTTGACATCTTCCGGACAACTCTGTGTGATTTCTGACAAAAACCTAAACGAGTTGGCAAGAGCAAGAGCAGTTGAATGTAACTCAGTCCTCTCGCATCTCTGGGTGATCGCATGTGTTACTAATCACACTGGTTGTCTTAATAAAAGTTTAGCTTTCTTTCCAGCCCTTTAAAATCAAAGGGTTCCAGTGCTTATTGTTTGTGGTGGCAGCGATTACATAGAGTTAGTCCTTTGTGTTTTCACCAAGGTTTTGATGAAGACCCTGTATTTGCACCATCATCTCCAAAAGTTCCACATCATCCTCAGAACAGAACCAACCTTCTTTGCCTTGGCTCAAAGAAGTACAGCATGCCCTGTCCTTTGTTGTAGATGTCCTCACGATTACATCTCTTCTCCAGTCGGACGCCAAGGTATTCATGTTCCTCAACCACACTCACTTCTTCTCTTTTGATGGAAATAAGATTTGAGCTAACCCCATTTCCCCTGAAATCTGCAATCATCTCCTTTATTTTGTTCAAATTCAAGATAATAGTTTCTACACCATCCCACAAAGCGGTCCACCAGTCTCTGTCCTGAGCTTCTTAACCATCTTAGATACACCCAACAACTGCAAAGTCATTTGAAGATTTCTACAAATGACAGAAGTCGGAAGTGTTCAACATAAAAAGCAACGGTGCGAGTACAGTGCCCTGTGGTGCTCCTGTGCTACCCACCACCTGGTGAGACACGCAGTCCTTCAGTTTTACAAACTGTGGTCTGTTTGTCACCTGAGAATTGATCCAGGCAGTTGTTGAGAGCTCTAATTCTGTCTTCACTGATTTTTGACAAAGTAAATCAAATAAAATATTTGCTTTAAATCGCTACTTCACACTCATTTCACATTAATATTTTAACCCTTTGCAGTTTGTAGTGATCACGAGGTAGGCGGATTACAGAAATATTATTTATTGAATGTAATGACCCATGTAGATCATGTAAACAGATGATCTGAAAGGGACTTTGGACACATCTGACAAATGCATAGAAAACAACAACAAAAAGACAACGCTTCCAGGTCTCTTTTTCACTCAGAGCGTAGAAACCCAGCTCTGACATTTGTGAATCCGATTACTGGAAGAAAGCCTCCAAGTTATTTGGAGAACTTGTCTAACATCCTCTACAACCTCTGTGGCCTGTGTGACTTTGCATTCTGTATGCTTTCTATAGATATTCAAGTCAAGATTCCAGATCATTCCTGAATGACGTGAGGACCACAGCCAACTGTGACTGATGAGAGAGTCGGGATGACTTGTTCAGTTTGGCAGGTGTCTCCACAAAGCAGAAGGTGGAAGACAAGCTGCCACTGAAATCTTTCTCTGGGAAACTGGAAAGCCGATCCAGACAAGTCACAGTAAGACCTGGAAGTTTGGCTGGATGATATGGATCAGCGCCAGTAAGGAATGCCTGCCCCGCAGTCAGTGGAGCACCTGTTAGTCTGCACTACAATACTCCATTTTTCCTACAAGTAGGTCAGCGCCTGCATTTCCATGAACCTGCTAATTCCGTGGGTAATCAGTGCCTGAAGGGGTAAGAAGTTCTTTTATAGCTAAAAAGGCAAACAAACGAGCTCATTCACAGAAATCTGACTCCTTTTCAAATGGTCAGAGTTAAATTATAACCTAACGGAGCGCTTCATCTAACTGCTGTTAGATCAGCACGTCAGCTGATGTACATATTTATGTTTACTTTGATATAAAAAAATAATAAATTTAAGACACTGTCACTTGACCTAATACTACATAGTTGTACCATCTGCTCTAATTATTATTGTTTGTAGAGATTTGTTTTCCTGGTTTTTAAACCAGCTCAGCCTGAAATCGAGCCAAGTGCTGTTTTTACAAAGCAATCAAGAGAAACAAAATTAAACTTTGACAAAACAAAAAAACTTTTAACTATCATGAGAATAAAATCAAAATAAAACATAAAACGATTACATAAATATTCACCCCTTTTAAGTCAGTTTTAGTCTATTAGCATTAGTAGATGCTCCGTTGTGGCAAGGTTGCAAACTAATGATGACAATATATAGTTGTCATTATTTTGTAGAAATCAGTTTTCACTTTAAACATTTGTTGATTTTGTCAAAAAAAAAAAAGCAACATTTTGTTTGTTACGATTGATTTGGAGTAAAAAGCGTAAAACATCCAACGGGGCGGTGATGAATACTGTTTTTAGGCACTGTAAATGGACAGGGTCATAGGTCAGGGTACTGAGGTGGAAAGAATAAGATCGTTCTAAGGAATGAGATTATCAACAATTCCCCAAATGCTGCCGCTGTGAGGAAATCAACAAGGCGATAAAGAGTCATTGTATCCAGGCCACATCACAAAAGCCTTGAGAAACTTTTGGTGAGAAAATCCAAAAATCCCATTACTAAAAAAAAAAAAAAAAAAAAAAAAAACGATTCTAAACTAATGTGTTTTGCATGTTAAATACGAACTAAAAGGTTGTTTTTTTTAATTGGCATTTTATATGACGGGTGAACACAAAACTGTGAAATGAAGGGAAAGTGATTGGAGGTTTCTCTGTCTGTGCTGAAAAAAATTAAAAAAAGTATTCCCAAAACACGATGTTGTCACTGCCATTTATCACCACGGTGATGTGAAATGTCATTTTGCATTTTGAAGTAAAAAAAAAAAATCTATTTTAGTCTTAAAACGAGGCAAAACGTCTCTGCTTGGTTTCTCATGGAGACTTCATAAAACATCTGGTTTGTACTGGAATTAAATCACACAGAGGTGGATTCTATTAGCTAGTCAGGCAATTTAAGGCTACCACAGAAAAAAGGGGGAGATTTATTCGATTATTTATTTGATTCGAACCGCGTATTCTATCCACTTCCGATTGGTTTATCGCAAAACCAAACAAAAAAATACTTTCGCAGTGAAGTTGCTTAAAATAGAAATGTCATGTTTATCTTTAACAATAGTCTACTTAAGTCACGTTACTTTAAAAAAAAACAACAGAAAAACCGCATTACTTTTTTAAGTGACAAGAACGGCCTAAATACTAAACTGACCGTTTGTGACCTCAGAGGATCAATAAAGTGCGCCAGTGAGTAAACGTTGACGTTGCCATGGTAAATAGTGAACTATTTTAGCATTCCGTCTCCGTTTCTGCTTTCAGACACTTTTACGGGAGTCTGTCTTACTTCTGTGTCTGCCGGAGGTCCACGACTGCTTCGCCTTGCTCGGGCTCCGGATAATGGCTCTTCCAGCCGACCTGAGCGCATCCATGTCGGTC